GTGATCCCATTGCCGCTGTCTCTGCCCAGGAGTACACTCTGGAGAGCAGACAGCACCAGAACCACATGTCTGTCCCATGTCTAGAATTAGTGGCCTGAAAACCTGGATGCCTAATGGACCTTTTCAAAAAAACAAAAAACCCTACTATGTCATCTAGTAAATATGATTCCCTGATTACACCTCCCCAAACCTCCCCAAAGACGCCATAAGAATGTGGCAGGGAGAGGAAAGTACTGATAGGCATGTAAACACTCCTGCTGTGTTGGGGCTACTGACCACAACAGTTGTCTTTTTACAAAATAGCTTTATCAATACAGACTACATACTCTGGAATTCACTGTTGAAAGTTCACAACCAGTGTCTGAGAATTTTCACACCACTGGACAGCCACTGCCAGGATGACCATTAAAACTGTGTCATCCTTAAACACAGGCCACACTTCCCAGCAGGACATTCCTCCCCACCGCACACCCAGCCACTCACTGTAAGTTCACTGAGATACACGTATGAATGTATGAGTCTTCCCGGCTCCCGTCTTTTACATCTTAAAGGTTCGTCACCACTGAGTTTCTTCCTGTTGCAGCACAGCTGTCTAATGAGTACACTGCTACTGTACACTGTTTACCCACTCATCAGTTAACGGGTATTCAAGTTGTTTCTGTCTTGGGGTTATGATGCTTAATGCTGAAATAAACATTCATATATAAAGTTTGGGCTTTCTTAAATGAGGGGCACATCTCAGACTGAGAAAGTTCACGTTCTTTCAGATCTTTTCCTGTAATATTCCAAGGCCCAGGTCAGAACCTGCCAGCAGCTGAGGAACTGTCAACCACATTTCTTCTAAGGAATAGCCAAGGTCCGCAGCCCCTCAAAGTACAGCAATAGAGAAATGCAACTCTAAATTTGAAATACAAATACTCAGATGGGTTGCGATAGTCACAGGCTACAAAAAAAATCTAATTTTCCTCTCAAAAGGGAAACTGTGCATGCTGTATTTCCCAGAGAAATCTGTCTAACTCTGGAGCTGTCTGAAAACTCTCAAAACTTCATGCTTCCAAGGAAAACAAACTGCAAATGAAAGTCGACTAGGTTCCTCTTATTTCTGAGATTCATTTCTACACCCCCAGCCATCAATATCCGTGACGTTGTCCAAACAACCAGGCAACAGTGAGAAGAGACTTCTCAGAACAGGTAGGAAATGTGGAACCCATCACTCCAGAAGGATACCGGCCATTTCTAAGTTTGTGGTTCGCCTCACTGTTTAAGGCAGAAGTTATTAGGCACTGATGTTGCATGGGTTTTCTAAATGTTCTGCATTTGTCAAACACACAGCCAGATTTGGGCCGTGTCAGGAGAAACATGCATGACAGCGTTCTACAAAGCTAAGTTCTAATATGTGGAGGAGAAAGTTGCAGCCGTGTGGGGCCAGAACCATCCCCCTCCCCGTGTTAAAGCTGTCAGCTTGTGTTCCCTTCTATAGGAAACAGGGCGCAGGTCCCTTCTGCAGGGCACAGGTCCCTTCTGCAGGAAACCCAGCCATAAAGGCCCAAGCCTCCACAAAGCATCTCTGGAAGGCAGGACTATCTCTTGTCTCTTTGCCTACCTGCTTTTTCTTGTGTGTCAAATGCTAGTCTTATACCATTCAAAACCTTGTTCAAAGCCCCTCATTTCTAAAGAGCTGTCCCCTTGAACCTGCTTTCTTCGTTAACCATGTGGACCTCTTTGTAGTATCTCTCATTGACATCACTATGTCCCTTATACTGGAAAGCTGCAGACATCAAATTTGGGGCCCCCAGGAAGCAATGTGCAGCATGGGCTGCCTTCCCCCCACTCCAGCTGTCCATCTCTTCATCTCACTTTGCTTTGTCCATCCGCATTTGCTTTAATTCATCTAGCTTTACTCATTTCTTGGGTTCCTTGGGGGCCAGAATTTTTTTCTATGTAAGCCTAAGTTTGCCTTCTAGAACATGTCCTTTGTGAATAACTAGAGCTGTCTTATTCCATGCTAGAGTCCAAAGCTGACATTTACTCCTTCTCTTGTATTGAAAGCAAACAAGAAAGACTCTTTCTTTGTAATGTGTACAACTCAAAATCATTGCTCTCTGTACTACATGAAAAATCAGATAACCAGAAAGATTATGCAGTACTTGCTACCTACATAGTAAGGCAAAGTCAAGACTTAAACTCAGGCCAAACCCTGTAACTGTGTAGAATATAGAATCATGTGTAACAGTTTGTTGTGTTCTAACTTATTGTTGGAGTATGACCAGAAAATAGTAGTAAAGGACTCAATAAAATTCTGGAGGCAAAACTATCAGAAACTGAGCTTGCAACATTGGTAAAAATAGTTTTCACAAGACATTAAAGAGATGCTAAATGGATCTATCTGAGAAAGAAAAGACAGACCTCTTAAGTGATGAAAACAGAGTTTGGGGTAAACAGAACACTAGAAGTATCTCCATGTTTTTATTTACAAATTTGGATAATGGGAAAGAATGGATAGTCACGTGGTTTGGTTATACAGGTCCAGGGCAGACTAATTCAACTGCAGAACCATCATCATCATTCTGGACTGCCCCCTTGGGCATCAACAATGATAGCCCTATGATTATCTCCAACCCCAAGTGCTCTGGGGAAAAAATGGGTAGACAGTTTGGGACTTTTCAAGCCAGAGTTGTAATCTATGTTGACTGAGAATCTTCACACAAGCTCTCTTTCATGCTGAAACTATCCATCATATGATGTAGCAATATAACTGGGTACATCTTCCCTCTAGACCACCAATTATTCCAGAAGCATGCCAATATTTCAAAAATATTTCACAAATGCCCCTTCTCTTCCCCCCCCCAAAGTGCAGATTCAATTCCAATGAAAAGCTACCCAGAATATCTGAGGTTATCGGTCAGTGGTTCTCACATTTACACAAAGAGCAGAGACTTCACAGTAAAGCACTCTTAGAAAGGGATAAGAATCAAGGGATAGCATAAAATTGAAGTAATGAAAGTGGCCGCTGCATGGGCAGAGACATAGATGAGTGCCCCACAGGCAAGTTAAAGAACTAGAAACGGAGAAAGAGAGGCAGAGGCGTGTTAGGGCAGCAGATGACCACTCTGAAGGCAACTGAGAAAACAAGAAGTCCCCAACATGAATGGTTGTTCATACACAAGTAATATTCAGGCCCACTAACAGCAGAGAGACACTCAGTAAGGCAATAAGTAAGTGGATGACATTTTTCACCCACTGGATTGGCAAAAATCAAGACGCATGACAGCATTTGTGATTCCACTGGAAATTTCAGATACTGCTAATTTTCCAAGCAGAAGAGGTCGAATATTCATTTACTTGTTGCCTAACAATCTCACCCCAGAGGCACTCTTGTGTCTGTGCACAAGATTTAGGTAAATCTGTACTGCTAGGAGAAGCTCGTGCTAAGTTACTTTAATACCAAGGCTCCCGGAAACCCAGCTTAGAATGCCATCCGCTGCTAGGGGGCTAGAGAAGAGATACTAAGAGGAAAGCCATCCGCCCAGTGATGGAGATGGAGATCCCTGGAGGGAAGGCTCGCAAGCACCGCTGTGGCTCCTGGGCCCCTTCGTTTATTTGCATATATCAACTGTGGCATGAGAATTTAAACAGTGGAGGAAATCACATGTCCAGACTCCTCTGAGAACACAGAAAGAATTACCCCCGTTACCCGTGACTCTCCTTGGGCTCACAGATTCCCCAACACAGAACGTGAGGGGCAGTGCCAGCAACAGGACCGTGCATACCCTGTGCTAATTAAATTAAGCAGCTGAGGAATTCAGAGAGTTAACTGCTTTGTAATTTCCTGGCAGAGTCAGAAGCCAAACCAGAGTCCTTAAACATTCTCTCCTGATACCAATCCTGGGCATGTCTTTGCCCAGCAGATAAAGAAGTTTCCATTTTCCCTTGTTTTTGTGTCACCAAGATCTGGCATGGAACCTAGCAAAATGCTAGTCCCCAGAGTATCTGCCTACTGAATATTAATGGCGTTCCTGATGGCTTCATCACAAGATTTCTCCACAAGGGTTTTAAAAAAAGCCTTAGTGGCACTGCCAGAAGTCACATGTGTGGAAATCCAGAAGGAGAGATCTGTGAGAAGAAAAAGTGGGAATCCCTGAGTACTGGACCACATTTGACAACAGGTCCCAGCAGGACGGCCTCGAGTGACTGGCTTCTTTAGCTAAAGGTGCAGATGCAGGAGAAGGGAGCCAGGCCCAGTGACTCTGTCTTTGTTGCCTCCCAGCAGAGCTGCAGAATTCACAGAGCGTGCCGTCTCTCTCCCTTACATCTGTATAGGAGGGCTGCAGGGCTCTCATCAGGATGCTAAGTCTCTGATCCCAGTTTCCAGATCATTTCATGAACTGTATCCGGAGCCTGAGGTTTCCCAAACGTCCTTGGAGATATCATTGCTCTTCCTTCCTCTCTTGGTATTTCTAGACCTTCCCTGCCACCGAGATAATGAGCTAGGACAGCAGTGGTAGGGATCTGTGACTGCCTCCCTGAGCAAATCCTGTCTGGAAGAAGCTCTGGATTCTTAGCCTAGGGCTAAGGTGTCACTTGTATTTTCTGAGATATTTGCCCAAGGTGAGCAAAGTCTGGATGACAGCATCTGTTGGGGACTACTGGATCACACTGTGAACTCTGAGTTTACACTTGCATTGATTAAATAAAATTAGCCTTTCGTCAGGAGGCTGAGTGAACACCTAGCTGACAGAAAGTCATCATGGAGCATCAGAGGGCATCAGGAAGAGAAGAGAGACGCACAGGAAGTAGTAGGGAGGGGTTTGGAGTGGTGCAGCTTGTTTGTTTGTTTGTTTTGTTTTGACAGAGTGGAAGGATGGGCTTTTTCAGAACTGCCAGCAAGGAGAGGTTAGCCAGTTGCTACTCACCCTCTCTGAGCTAGCAGGTTTTCACCCCAGCCTTTGACTCTTGAGTCTTACTTATAACTAGAGCGACAGAGATTTAGTTAAAGTTACCTTTAGTGGCAGCAGCATAGCCAGTTGCCTGCAGGAACAGAATTGTGCCAAGGCTGTGACATAAGTGATAGGGCTGCTGCCAGGGAAGCAGGCCAGTAACTGTGGAGCACTTGCTAGCTCAAAAAGCAGTAGATTGTAGACTTGAGAGATGGCTCGGAGATTAAGAGCGCTGGTTGCTCTTCCAGAGGTCCTGAGTTCAATTTCTAGCACCCACATGGTGACTTACAACCATCTGTAATGAGATCTGATGCCCTCTTCTGGCCTGCAGGTGTACATGCAGATACAGCACTCATATACATAAAATAAGCTTAAAAATTATAGAGTAAGGCAAAGCCACTGTGCCAAAGATAAAACAACAGGTATCCATAAAACATCCATCATCTTTCTTCTTCTTTGTAGGATGCAACAAAGGGGAGGGGGAACAAAGTAAGGTCTGTCTCCTCCATCTTTTTATTTACTTCCGGTTCTTTTGATACAGAGTCTCAGTGTAACCCAGGCTGCCCTTGAACCCATGAAGTAGCTGAAGATAACATTGAACTCCTGATCCTCTCACTTCTACCTCCCAAGTGCTGGGCCTACAGAAGTGTGCCGCAACTCCGAGTTCCTCTGTGTTTTTGTTTGTTTGTTTGCTTTTAACACAGGGGTTATTGCAGATAAATTAGTTTTCCAGATACATGAAGGCTGAGTTACCCTCTATTATTTTATTATTAGCCAATGACCATCAACTGAGTACTATCACTGCCTTCATGATCATAAACAAATATTTGAACACAGGAACTATATTAAATGTCTGTTGTCATCTAAGGACACTGTCCTGAGTGATGCAGAAAGCACAGATTTAAATTCTTTTTGATTGACATCATAACCATAACAAAAGCATCTAAATATTTTTTAAAGAATATGGAACCAAGGCGTAATTCCTCTGTTTGAGAAATTAAGGTGTAAATGGCCAACATGTCAAGGTTTGAGGTCTCTGAAGTAATCATGTGTCTTGCCTTAAATACATTCTCAAAGCATGTTGCCTAGTAAGTATTTCTATTATACAGAGTTATTCTTCATGATCTGTTCTGAGGGACAAAATTTTTAAGTGAAAAGTAAAAATGTATACTTCTTAATTTGCTTCTAAACCAAATGAACAAAAAACTAGGGTAGGACCGGGGAGCTGGCTCAGTGGTTAAAGTGTTTGCCATGGAGGCATAAGAACCTGAGTTCACCCCTCCAGAACCCATATTTTACAAAATGCTGCATGCACTGGCCTGCACTTGTAATACTAGTACTGGAGTTGGAGATGGAAGATGCCAATCTAGCTGAATCAGCAAGATCGAGATGCAGAGAGAGCCCTTATGTCAAAAATAAAGGTCAGAGCTACTGAGGGAGATATGTGACATGGATGTCTGACCTCCACATGTACACACACACACACACACACACACACACACACGCATGCATACACACACATACACATATACACACCACATACATACATACACATACATACACACACATATACACGTGCACACACGTGCATGCACACATACACACACACCGCATACACACAACACACATGCGAGCTGCATGAAAATAAACAATCCATTGACGTTCAAGGTGCTTGTGTGCTTCAAAAACAATTTACCACTGTGTACAAAGTCACTTGTGTTTAGGAGTTTGCATTTAGACTCGGGCAATTACCAAAGTGTTTTTTTTTTTCCACATAGCCTTGCAGAGGGACATTAGGAAGAATGCAGGGCCTGTTGAGGGTGGGAGAGGGATAAAAAGGGTCAAAAAGTGAAATCAAAAGTATTAAATACATGTATGAAAATTTCAAAGATCAAAATGTAGTCATCAAAAAAATGACAAAGGGGAAAAAAGAGCACAGAGCATCCAACATGTATGAAGAGCAGTGTATGAGCAACAGGTACTACACAAGCAGATTAGCTTGCATCTCTCCACCCCCAGGAAGGCCATGACTCCTCCAGCGTGTCAGGCAATCATTGTGAAAGTGAAAACAATCCAAGTCTCACTCCCCTTTGGGGAACAGACAGCTCTGATGGAAAGCCACTGCCAGAAAGTCTCACCCAAGGGCTTAATTCGCTTCCGAGGGTGGGTCCCAGTCACTCCAGCCTGCCTGGGTGTTAGCACCGGCAAACTGCCACAGGGATGCTTTAGACAAATTGTAGGGCTTGGAGCTGCCTTCCCATCAGACAGGGCGCTACACCCCGTGTCTCTCACCCTTGCAGAGAAAGATTTCTACATCACTGAGTCAACCTAGTGCAAGAAGCCAGGAGGGGAGCATTCTCACGGTTGGGACCTCCTCAGTGAGCCTTGTCCTCTCAGGACGGTCACAGCACTGGATGAGGGAGGCCATTCCAAGTAGATCTTAGCAGGATGGACAGCCAGTGTGAGTGACGGGACCCCTCCCGTTGGAAGTGCTTTTTCATTGTCTAAGGAAAGCTAAGTCTGAGAACTGTCCGGCAGACAGAGCTGAGAAGAGAGACTGAGAGAGAGAGAGAGAGAGTCAGAGAGAGAGACAGAGAGACAGAGACCGAGAGAGAGAGAGACAGAGAGAGAGACAGAGACAGAGAGAGACAGAGACCGAGAGAGAGAGACAGAGACAGAGAGACAGAGACAGAGAGAGAGAGACAGAGACACACACACAGAGAGAGAGAGAGAGAGAGAGAGGAGAGAGGTTGGAAGGCAGGAGGATACTATGGATGACACTACCAAATCTCAAGTCTTGCTGGCATCCTGAGGTGAAGGCTGTTTGCGTTGGTGTTTCAGTAGCAGATATGGGTGGCCAGGGAGCATTTGCTGGTGGTGGCAATGAAGGCATGCATAGGAATCTAGCAATCTGAAGCATTCGCAGTAATGGACTATGTGGTAACTGGTCACCCTAATAGCCTAGTTTAACTGAAGTGATAGACACCAAAAATTCAAGGGAAGAAGGACTTATTTCCATGGTTCAGAGGGCTCATCTGAGAACCACATAAATATCTCTATATCCTCAGAAAGATGGGGATCCAGGGCTGTCATCTTTGATGGAGGAATAGCTATGAGGTATCACTGTCTTTTTTTTAAAGATCTATTTATTTATATGGATGGATGTTTGCCTGTGAGTATGTCTGTGCACCAAATGTGTGCTTGGTGCCCACAGAGGTCAAAAATGGGCCTCAGACTCGCTGGAGTTACAATGGCTAGGTGGGTGCTGGGACTCAAACAAGGGTCCTCTGCTAGAACAGCAAGGCTGTTAACCAGTGAGCCGTCTCTCTAGTCCCGGGTACCTGTGACTCTAATGTTCTGAGCCTGGAGTTCACCAGTCACGGCAAGGACAGCATTTCTTCTAGCATCTCCGAACAATGCAGGAAGTGAATGTGGTTAAGCCTTTGATGTTCCAGAACTCCTCTTCTGTTACCCGGAAAGCCTGGGATCCGGGAGGCTGCCACACAAACAAGAGCGTAAAGGTCACGAGGTCTGCCCCACCCAGCTGCAGGGCACCAGCATCTGTGGCAGAGTTCTGAACAAATCCTGGGACTGTTTATAACTGAAAAGAACAAAAGGAGTTTATCAGTCTCCATCCCCACGCGCTTCTGCTCCAGTCTGACACACCTCCCAGCAGGCCTCCGGGCCCCAGGCAGACAGCCACCGCCCCACTGAACCGTCTGCGTGCCCGCTGCCCGCAGTGCAATGCCCGAGAAAGGCCCAGCTGAGGCGGACCATCGATGGATCACCGACGCGGGCCTGTCCCAGGCAGCGCCCTGCCCCAGCAGGCCCGAGCTCCCTGGCCACTGGAGTCCCGGGTGTGGCCCCTCCTCTCCCGAGTCGGCTGAGCCAACCCAAGTGCAGACAGGACCAGCTCTATGGCCTCTCCAAGACCGGAAAGAGGACCGATGCAGAAGGCAGGCAAAGGTCTTCTCAGCTGGGTAATTAAAAAAGAAAAAGTTTTGAGACCTTGAAAAGAAACCTTGTTGAAAAACCAAACAAAACAGGAAAAGCCAGAAAAGCCCAGCCCTGCCTCTACCCGTCTCCCCCACCACACTCTGGCTTCCCTTCTCTTGGGGAAGGGAACATTTTCAATTTCCTGTTTCCTTAGCGCACTCTGTTCCTGACAGTAGAGAGAGGTTCCTAACTGGTCTGGGCCCAGCAGGTAGGCTCTGTCCTGCCCATTGGGGAAGGGTGTTAACCGAGAGAGAAGCCACGCCCATGAGGGCCAGGGGCTCCTTCTTGCCCCCTCCTGGCAGAAGTACAAACACACCAAAGCTTAATCAAAATGGGGCTTTAACAGAGGATGCTGGAAAACACATACACACAGTCACACACACACACACACACACAGTCACACACACACATACATACACACAGTAACACACACACAGTCACACACATACACACAGTCACACACACATACACACACAGAGTCACACACATACACACACACAGTCACACACATACACACAGTCACACACACACAGCCACACACATACACACAGTCACACACACATACACACACAGAATCACACACACATACACATATACACACACATACACATATACACACACATACACACACATACACACATACACACCACACACACCACACACAGTCACACACACACACATATACACACTACACATACACACACACACATACATACACCGGCTCACACACATACACACACTACACATACACACACACATGCACACACACTCACACATACACACACACACACACACACAATACCACAAGGACAATCCTTTTTCTGTCTCTTCATTTTCTTCAGTTCAGATGAGTTTTTTCTGGTCATCTTCCCCCACCACCCGGCCTCCACTCCCGCATAAGACACACATCCTTCTTAGAACAAACCGAGGAAGGCGTCCAATTAGCCAGGAGTCTGTCCCATGTCCAATCCTGAACCAACCACCAAAGGGAATGGGTACAATGCCTGCCTGTGGGCAAAGCCACAGAGTCACAGAGTTTGTAGCCCCTTCATAATCACAAAGAAAGGGACTAGGGAGTAGTTCTCATCCCCCAGAAAAATAGATGTTTCTGTTAAGTTAATGATGATGATTGGTCTTAACCCAAAGGAATATTTCCAGTGAATCCAACTTCATGAACTAAGACTGAGGACAGAGAACCTTGCGGAGTCCGCAGATCACAGAAGAGGGCGCCACCTTCTTTGCCTTGCTTCTGCGTTTAGGCTTAATTCAACTTGAAAGGACTCTTGGTCTTATGCAAAGGAGCAAGGGAAAGTCTGTTCGTTCCGTGGGTAATAAATAACCTCTCGCTATGAGAAATGTGACGCTTGACTCCACCGAGCCTCTTGACAACCGCAATCTGACACTACAGAAGCTTTTCTTGTGAGACCACAGATATTGCAGCAACTTCCCTTTTCAGACGACTCCAGCTAATGGCTTTCTGTGCTATTAGTGGAACACAGCCAGGCGATCTTTGATTTGTGGTTGCTTGATTGGGCACCGAAAGGAGAAGCTATTTCCTTGCAAGGGGATAAATTGTCTGGGAATTCTTCTGAGTGATATCATTACTGTGGAGTCAGAGGGAACATCAATTTTCCTGATGCTGGGAATGTTTTTACAGAGAGGAGAGGGGGTCTTTTTGAGTCGTGTCACAGCTTAGCAGGTGAAACCACACAACCTTAGGCAAACTGCCAGTCTTCAGCCTGGGCTGAGCTCATGGGATGTGTGTTGTGGGTGGGTGGGTGTGTGTCCGTGGGGAGTGGGGTTCGGCCTGGGCTGAGCTCATGGGATGTGTGCTGTGGGTGGGTGGGTGTCCGTGGGGAGTGGGGTTCAGCCTCCCACTTTTCGTCTCTCACGGCTTGGAACTCATGGGTCAGGCCAGCTGGCTGTCAAGCTCCCAGGGATCCCCATGCCTCGGCTTCCCATGTCACAACACTAGGATCACAGGTCCCTGGATTCTAGACATCTGAATTCAAGTCTTCAACTTGTAAGGCAAATGCTTTACTACTGAGCCTTCTCCTCAACCCTCTGCCTATGAATTGTGAATTCATTCCAGTCACTGTGGACCATGGCAGAGGGAGAGAAGGCACAAAATATGCTTCACTAACAGAGGGAAGACAGCATTTCGTATGAACAGCCATGTGCTCTGGTCCCATTTCAGAAGACGTTGGCACCATCTGCTCCAAAGGAAATAAGCATACAGTTCATCACTGTGATGGATGTCCCGCAGGTCAGCGTAAAGACAGCAGCAGGACAGCGTTCGTTTGGGTGCTGGAAACCCATCTTTCTGTGGAAAGCCTAACAACCAAAGGTTATCCAGGCTTGGGAGGGACTTTTTCTCTTTAGTGAGCTTTTTCTTTCAGAATAATTTGAGATTTGCAGGAAGTTTGCTGATGCAGCTCAGAGAAATCCTGTGCTCCTCCATTCTGCTGATGTTCACAGCCTTCAGAATGGAAAAGTAGATGTTGACACAGATGTTACTGAGACTTCCTGTTGATGTCCCCAGATGCTCATACTCTTTAGGTCACAGCTTCTCCTTAGTGTCTGCCAGTCTGTGACAGTCTGACTCTCCCCGTTTGACACAGTCTTCTGATTTTAAAGGGCACTGGTCCAGAATTTGGTAGGGCATTCCTCAGTCGGTTTGGTCCTGATGCTGTTACACATCAGGGATTGTGAGTTTTTTCTGGAAGAGGTGCCTAGAACAGATAGCTTTTAGGAAATGGGTAGTTCCGAACCTACCAACTTGCCTTAAAACCAAATCCCACTTTGTCTGTTCCAGCCTGTTTTTAATGATGTCATATGCTGGTTTTGTGGTGAATTTTCCTAATTCAGGTTTCCACATTCTTTACACACACACACACACACACAGGCATCTGTAGCAGCCAGAGGCAGATGCCGAGAAGCTGGTGGCTCCTTTTAGAGGACTGAGCATGTCCATTTTGCTTCCTACCTATGGTGTCCCCAGCACCAAGGCTCAGCATCAGCCCATGGTGTTCTGCTGAAGCTGAATTTTCTACATGTCTATCATACTGCTTTCATGATGGAAAGTGACCCAGATGATCTCCCGAGTCAAGTAAAATGATGGAAAAGCAAAAGACGTGACAGCTGAGTCTCAGGGAGACGTCATTCTCCTAGAGATGCGGGATGGTTCGGAGGTGCCCTGAGACCCGCCTGTGAGGTCATGGAGCATGCCTTTCACTTCTGTTTGGCAACTGACTGGACAGACATGACCCAGGGGATGCTGGCTGATCGGAGAGTAAATAATTGAAGGGCTAGGACAGTGAAAACGCCCCCTCACCTTGGCTTCCCTCTAAGGCTCTCCTAAGCTCTACACGGTCCCTCCTGGGGCACAGTCGCTCACCGAGGGCCACATAGTTCTCCCTAGCCTAAACAGAGGTCTTCAGCTCTGCAAATCCCCACCGAGAAGCACGTGTGAGGCATGGGAAGAGCCTTTTTGGCTTTTCCTCTTCCCTGAGCACCCCGTCTGAGTTCCACCCCCCCCCCACTCCATCCCTTACTTTGCTTGAAGATAGTAAGTATTCCCTTAGTTGTCCAGGCTGGTCTGAACTTCTAGGCTCTGGCGATTCTCCTGCCTCAGCCTCCCCAGCCAGAGATTACAGGCTCATAGACTATGCCCAGCTACCAATGCTGTCACGGAATCTAGAATCCGCTGGCACAGAGATCAGAATTCTACACCCCATTCTTCCTCTTCTCAGATGGTAATAATAGCCCCCACTTCCTCCCAGTGCCCTAGCTGTAGGGTCCTCACAAGCATGGAGATGACTATGGCACATTTCCAAGCACCCACTAACGTGATTATCTCAGCCAAGAGCACTCAGGACAAAGGAAGATAAGTGAGTTCTGGGCCAGGGAAGTAGGGGGAAGGGGGGAGACCTGGTGGTCCTGGTTCCAATGCTGTTGGCACCAGGAAATGACTTAACCCCTCTCTTATCAGCAATCATATCTGAGGCCTCCTTACTCCCCTCCTGGTCTCTGAGCTGTGTAAACATAACCAAGACAGCAGAGTACCTCGCTTGTTCTCTTCTCCCACAAGTCTCCGCCAAGTCCTCCTCATCTGTCACGGAGCCTCAGCTTGCTCTCTGTACACACATCACCTTTTCAGGGGCTGGTCACACCACGCTCCTACTCCCGACACACGGGTGCTGCAGACAATGCACTCCTGTGTGACCACGGGACCCACTAGAATGCTTCTTTTCCTGATACTTGATGCAGGGAGGGCAAGAGGGCCTGGAAGGACTCGGGAGAGACCATCTGGGCCTTGAAGCTTGAGAGGACACCGAGTCCCCAAACCCCATTGGCACGTGCAGCTCCCCAATCTTTGTCTTGACCTTGCACATCTAAAGATTGCTCCTGGGCATTCTTTATCTGGAGTAGGGTGGAGCTTAGGATGTCTGTTCCTTCCACAAAAGTGATCTTTCATCGAGACGCCAGAAAATAGGACAGACAAGGACAGGGAGGGGAAGGACGCAGTCGTTATGACGGAGACCTTGCTGGTGTAAGAACAGAAGCAAAGACTCTCCTCTGGCCCCCAGCAAACTCGGCACTGATCATGGCAGGTGCCCTCCCAGGCGGGGTGAACATACAAAGATGTACACTAGGTGAGTGGAAAGCCGGCAACGTTTCCAGGGAAGTAACCCTTCGCTGGCCGGCACGGTGCAGTTGGAGCTGAGGGACAGCCATGGTGGCCAGTCTGGAGACTTCCTGGTCCTCTCTAGAGACTGGCTGGCTCTGGAGGTCTGGGTAGTCTACCAAGCCAGGAGATGGTCATGCTCACAGCAAGCCAATGAGCAAAGGACACAGCAGGGGGAAGGAGACACCTCCAACCGGAGGCGTGGCCACTTGGAAGAAAAGAATCCCCATCCAAGACTGCGAAGCAGTTGCCATGGTGCTTTTACAAGACTGCAAAACCCTGGAATTTTGTGGTCCTAATTCGCCTGCCTCCGAGGATCTTGTGTTTATTATGGTTTTCTTCTGTAAGAGGCAGAGTCATCAATTGTGTTTGCCATTGTTGAAAGCTCTCTGGTTTCTGCATAGCACTTAAAGCAAAAGAATTGAGACAGCCATTCCCATCCTAAGCAATGAGTAGATAAAGTTGCAAAGGTGGCTTCCACACATCTTACCTTGATATTTTTTTTCCAACTTGGAAACCGAAAGTGACCGGGAAATGCGCGTTTACGGGGGGGGGGGGGGGGCGGGAGGGATGAGCATTTTACTCAATTCTACGACCCGTGAACACACCACAGCACAGTAGCGAGGGTGGAGAGCAGCTGTGTAGGGTTGGTCCCCTCCTTCCACCTTTACACGGATTCCAGGGCTCAAACTCCGGCTTCCCCAGCACGCTCTCTCTCACTCGGCCATCTTAACTACCTCTACCTTAGTTTTTAAGACAGGGTCTCCCACTGAACCTGGAGCTCACTGGTGGCATTAGAGTGGGAAAGCTTGCTCGTTGATCCTGAGGGAGACATCACACCTCTGAAGGCTTTAAGCAAATGTGCCTTTTACTTTGAAGAGAAAATAGCATCTTCCAAGGCTGATTCTAAGCATCCTTGAAAAGGCAGTCCAAAACAGGGACGCTCAGCACTGCACCTGCGCATACACAGGAAGCTGAGAAGCCGGCAGGGAGCCACTCTCGGTAATGCCCTGTAACTATGAACCACCGTGCGAGCCTGTCCATTCCTAGACAACAGCTACACGGATGTCGTTACGCTGTTTTCTGCCACCCACCAAAAGAAAAAGAAAAGTAAGGCCTTGTAAGAAATAGGATAATTTCCTCAAGCTTTAAGTGTTACAATGAAATGTAACTTCTTTGGGGCACTACAGAATTCTTTATTTGGACAGACGGGGCCGTTCTAATTCTTACAATCCATAGATGGTACTGAATGTTCAGAGCTGAGGGGTTCACTGAGGTCCTTAGCTATTCCTGCTGCCTTTGTATCTCGTCATCCACACAGACGGACTGGAAGCCTGCCTGGGAGTCATGCACGTGCACACTCGCTCACCAAATGAATCATGCCAGAACCCATCCATATTTTGATCTCTTCACCTTTTCAGTGCCCCCCAGATCAGCTAACGGCATCCTCTCAGCAACAAATGTGGCCACAGTCCAACATAAAGAAACACCTGAATAAAATGTCACACTTATGGAATCCACCTAACACTTTATTTTTAAAGAGCTCTCCTCCAGCAGCCATGCCAGGAAAATCTTTACTTTGGAAGATGAAATGGACCTGGTTTCTCATATGATGTCAGATCAACTAAAGTCAAACAAATAACAAGCATAATAAACACAATTCTAGTTTCTCTCAAGAGCTGAACGAAATGAGTTATAATCTACTATGCTGGGCTACCCTGAATGATATCATAAATAGGCTTCGTCTGCCCCCTGCTGGACTTCAGGTGAATGACAGGGCTTCCCAGCAATCAGAAAGGAAAGATGGAGTTTGGCAGGTTACCTGCCTCCTATGTAGGAAAACGAAGGCCCTGAGAAAAGTCGTGGATGTGTGACTCAACACTGTACCCCAGAATGCAGCATGGCATCTGAAATATGTGCTGATATAATGAAGAAACAAGTATGAAAGTCACGCTTACAGCCCTGTGGAAGCCTGGTGATTCCAACGGTCATGAGCCCAAATTGCAAATATTTTACAATGTTCTATTCATACGTATTCATACATGCTTGAAAATAACTCAGTGCCCACCAGACATGCACTGTCATTTGGACACCGACCCAGAACAACCTTTGAATAATTCCTGGAGGTCAACAAACTAGCTCAATCAGACATTCAGACTTTAAAGAGAGAAGTAAATTTCCTAAATATGACTGGTTGCCAAGAAATTATTTCTTTGAGAGCCTAGCATCTAAAAACCATGGGGTAAAGTAAAGCCAAAGGGTTTCCTTTATGGAGAAATCATATGGAGTTCTCTGTGTCATCTTCTGTCCCTCGCTCCAACTTCACCGCAGTTGGCCCTCCAGTGATACGTCTTGCAAGGGTCAGTGAAGGCAGATATGGAGACACAGGAACCATCTTTAGTGGGGATACCATTTATTGAATGTGAAATAATTCTTACTACGGCTAAAGTTTGACCACTTCACATACCTCAGTAACTAGCTATTCAAGAGAACTGGAATTTCTTTGAGAAGCTAACCTGACATTCATATGCAGAACAACTCCAAAGGGAATGTAAGTCTGTGTGTGCAACACAGGAAACTAGAAACAGGTTTTAAATTGGGATGTGGGGATCTCTTTTTAGGAGGGAATGCCACCTCTCTACGAGAGAGTGACATTCTGCTGTAGGTACTGGAAGAAGAGGTATGCTGGTGCTGGACAGCCAGAGGCGGGGGAACACAACTTTGATACTACCCCCTGACTTTGGTCATCCCCCAAGTATAAATCCACCCTTTATCATAGAATAATTTTTAGAGTACAGTGAGATTTTGAGATTTTAGGTTACCAATTAGGGCATCCATTTCCGTCAACCCGATCTCCAGGTCTGTCTCAGTTAGGGTTTCTATTGCTGTGACAAGACAACATCACCATGGCAACTCTTATAAAGGGAAAAGATAATTGGGGTGGCCTACATCTTGGGAGGCTTAGTCTAGCATCGTGATGTGACATGGTGGCATCAGATAGGCATTGTGCTGCAGAAGAACCTGAGTGTTCTACATCTTCCCTTGAATGCAGCAGGGAGTGGTCTGAGACACCTGGTGGCATTTTGAGCATATGAGACTTCAAAGTTCACCTCCATAGTGACTTATGAGTCCACACCTATTTCAACAAGGTCACACCTTCTAATAGTGCCACTCCCTATGGGGACCATTTCCTTTCAAACCACCACAAGGTCCAAGACATTATTTTGCAACTGAGTGTTTGAAGCAAACATAATAAAGTCAGTGGTACTGAAGGCTGTTCCCATCATGCACGGAGGCTGCATCATGCTACAGCCCCTGGCATACTTGGTTCAGGGCTGTTTCCTAAGAAATCTGCAAGCTTTCGTGGATTTTATGATTCCTGTCTCTTACTTAAATGACCTAAAGGGGATCCTGCTCTTAGAACTAGGAAGTCTGGTTTAGTTAGAAACAAGGCAGTAGGGGGTAACTGGTCTTGACTTAGAACTAGGAAGTCTGGTTTAGTTAGAAACAAGGCAGTAGGGGGTAACTGGTCTTGACTTAGAACTAGGAAGTCTGGTTTAGTTAGAAACAAGGCAGTAGGGGGTAACTGGTCTTGACTTTCTCGGCTTCCCCATCTTTGAATATTTTTACAAGCACAGTGGTAAAGATTAAAAATACATACAAGCCATATGCCACACACCTAGGAAACACACTTAGCATAACTTCTTTCATGAACAGTTTCCAAAATCTGCTCCTTACCATCCAATTCAAGGTCACTGCTGCTGGCCTGGATGGTTTCAGTCATGTGCTAAAGTAAACTTTCTGTAAGCGCTCACAGCTCTCTGCTCCCCATACCCGTTGTCTCCCAATTCTCCTACATGGATCCAACAGCCAGAAAGACCTGCATGGCCTGGGTTCCTAATCGTCTCCTACTATTCCTACCCCTCACCCACCCCGTCCCCACTGGTAACTGTCCCCAAACTATTCCCTGAAAACGATACCCACACTGC